GCACCACTCCGTCAACTCCCACACACCCACCCCCCTCAGCGGCAGCTGCAGCAGTGGGAGACAGAGGAGGAGGAGGAGCAGGGGAGACCACACACCCGCCACCCCCTACTCGCCACCCCTAGACCCTAACACAGGGCAGGGCGGGACGGCGGGTAGGGAGGTTACGGGGGGGGGGGGGGGAGGGGGGGGGTCGACGCGCGGCCTCCCAGGGCGCCAAAACAGGCGGCAGAAGGGGCGACGCTCGCCCCCCCCCCCCCCCCCCAGGTCGCCCCTCCCGTCGCCTGTCGAGGCGACCTGAGGGGGCCGCGCGGGGGGGCGGTGCACGGGCCCCCGGTGCGCCGTGATAGGCGACGGAGCATGGCCGGGGCGGGGCTGGGGCAGGGTCGAGGCAGGGCCGAAAGGGGCGGCGACGGGGCCGCAAGTGGCGGCGACGGGGCCACTAGAGGCGGCGACGGGGCCGATAGGGGCGGGGACGGGGCCGCTAGGGGCGGCGACGGGGCCGCTGGTGGCGGCGACGGGGCCGATAGGGGCGGCGTCGGGGCCGCTAGGGGTGGCGACGGGGCCGCTGGTGGCGGCGACGGGGCCGATAGAGGCGGCGACGGGGCCGCAAAGGGGCCGCGAGGGGCCAGGAAGGGCGGCGACGGGCCGCTAGGGGCGGCGACGGGGCCGCGAGGGCCGCGAGGGGCCTGAAAGGTCGGCGACGAGGCCGCTAGGGGCGGCGACGGGGCCGCGAAGGGGCCGCGAGGGGCCTGGAAGGGCGGCAACGGGGCCGCTAGGGGCGGCGACGGGGCCGCGAAGGGGGCCTCGAGGGGCCAAGAAGAGCGGCGACGGGGCCGCTAGGGGTGACGACGGGGTCGCTAAGGGTTGCGCGAGGGGCCGTGAGAGGGGCCTCTAGGAGGGGAAGAAAAAAAAAGTCCGTCGCACGCCACGGGGCGTGCAACACACAGAGTAGCAGCGGAAGCAGTTAGATGGGCCCACAGGCCAGGAGCGTAGATGCTCTGATAGCATGTGAACAATGAGGAATGAAGAAAGGAGAGGGTTGCACTAGCAGCAGTTGGCATACATATAGGAAACCCTAATTGGGTTGTACTCGCTATAGAGTACCCCACTGCAGGCTAGACAATTATAACATTTTGACAACACCTGAAGGTGCAGGACCGGGAGCGGGGAGGGGGTCTACCTGGGGAGCACCTGGAGCGAGGAAGAGCGGCGGGGGGGGGAGAGGGGCAGTGCGGTAGGGGAAGAGCAATAAAAGGGAACCGACTCGTCGAACGTGACATCCTGAGAGGGGAAGACACGGCGCGAGGTGGGGTGGTAAAACTGCCAACCAGGCGCGTCAGGGACAAAGCCAAGGAAGACACAGGGAACAGCACGAGCGGAGAGCTTGTCCGCGGTGGTATCGCGGACAAAGGCACGAGCACCCCTGACCCGGAAACGCGACGCATCACCAACCTTCCCCGTCCACAGCAGTGTGGGCGAGGTCTCCGGCAAGGAGAAGCGGGGTCAGAGGTTGAGCTGATGCGCGGCGTACCGGACCGCAAATGGCCACACAAAATGGGGGGCAGCCGCATGGATCATGGAGGTACGAGCGACCTCCATGACTAAGCCAATGCGGCGCTCAGCAACCCCATTGTGCTGCGGAGAGGCCGGAAGCGTGAACGTCTGGCGGATGCCGTGCTCCGCTTAGAAGGCTGCCAAGAGGTCTGAGGAGAACTCACCACCTCTGTCAGAGTGGAGACGCAGGACAGGAAAGTCCGACTGGAACCGCTCACGGAGCTGGAGACGGGCAGCGCGGATCCAAGGGATCAAAACATCAGGGACCTCACCCTTGGTGCGCAAGGGGAAGACCGTGGTGTAACGCGTGTAGTCGTGGACGACCAGCAGGAAGTACCGCTCGTGGGCTTGTTCACGGACGCGGGCTAGGCCCCACACGTCCAGGTGGAGAGTCTGCAAGGGAGCCTCTGTGGGAGGGAACGAGGAGGAGTGAGGAGCGGCGCGCTGCCGCCCCTCGACACAGGGAAGACAGGGAGGAGCAGGCGAGGGAGGGAGGGGAGGGAGAACCCTGGGAAGACCAGAGATAAGGACACGGCGGTGCATGCTACGAAGGCGTTGCACCGAGGGGTGACCAAGGCGGTGGTGCCAAAGGAGGGTCTGGTGCGACAAGGCGCGACACGAGTAGGGGGCCGCTAGCTGACCTGACGCAGACGCAGACGCAACTATCTGAGGGGACTCAGTGGTCAGTGTGTACAGGCCCGACCCCGGCTGCCGAGTGAAGGTAGCCAGGTGACGACCCGTCTGAGCACACGTGCAGTGTGTCACACGCTCGTAGGCAGGGGTGAATTGGTGAACACCCGCGTCCTGGAGCGCAGAACCCGCCACCAAGTTCGTAGAGAACGAGGGGAGGTAAAGACCAGAAAGTGTGCCGGACGGGACAGCAGGACAAGGGAGGACAGTGGTGCAGGTCGCACGGACTGGACCCCGAGAGGGGTCTGCCAGGGAGACTGCAACCGGCCGACTGAGCGGCGTGAGGGTGGTGCTGTCGCGAAAGAAGGAGCGAGAAGCACCGGAGTCAAGTGTGAAGGTGTACAAGGCCTCAGTAGGCGCAGTACTAGAGAGAGCAGACTTACCAGCACCTGGAGCAGCAGCCTCACCAGCACCTAGAGCAACAGCCTCACCAGCACCTAGAGCAGCAGGCTCTATACCTGGGTCAGGCGGTACGCACAGGTAACAGGCACGGTCAGCACTAGTAGGCAATGCATACATGGCAATGAGAATAGCATCATAGTCAATAGCAAATATATCTACCCTCTGCCCAAGCAGCTCCACCCAGTTGGGGAGCTCAGCCTCGTCGCCAAACTCGATACGCCAGGCGTCGCTCAGACGGGCGAAGCAGCGGGACTGTGTGTGACTAAGCGTCCCGCAAGCCTGACCAGTCCGAACACCTATGCGAATGATGTACGCACAGCGAACTGGATTCAAAGATCCTCTACCCTGAGCGTACCACTCACGAAGCTGCTGGGGTGTGAGAGACTCACGGGGACGTCGGTGGAGCTGCATGTGGCCACCGCCAGTAGCAGCAGTAGCATTAGTAGCAGGAGTAGCAGCGGCAGGCAGGGCAGGCGCGGCAGGCAGGCAGGCAGGCAGTCAGGCAGGCAGGCAGTCGGGCAGTCAGGCAGGCAGGCAGGCGGCGCGGCAGCGCGCGAACAAGGCAGGTGCTCACCAGTGGTGGGAAGGGCAGGCGCTCGCCGGGCGAGCAGGGCCGGCTGCTCTGGGTCCAGGGGCGGCTGTTCCAGGGGCGGCTGCTTCAGGGGCCAGGGGCTGCTGCTCTGGGTCCAGGGGCGGCTGCACCAGGGGCGGCTGCTGCAGGGTCCAGGGGCGGCTGCTCTGGGTCCAGGGGCGGCTGCACCAGGGGCGGCTGCTGCAGGGTCCCGTGGCAGCTGCACGTAGTCCAATGGCGGCTGCACCAGGGGCGACTTCTTCAGGGGCCAGGGGCGGCTGCTCCAGGTCCAGGAGCGGCTGCTCCAGGGGCTAGGGGCGGCTGCTCTGGGCCCAGAGGCAGCTGCTCGAGGGTCCAGGGGCGGCTGCACCAGGGGCGGTTGCTGCAGGGGCCAGGAGCGGCTGCTCTGGGTCCAGGGGCGGCTGCTCGAGGGTCCAGGGGCGGCAGCACCAGGGGCGGCTGCTGCAGGATCCAGGGGCGGCAGCACCAGGGGCGGCAGCTGCAGGGTCCAGGGGCGGCTGCTCTGGTCTAGGGGCGGCTGTACCAGGGGCGGCTGCTTCAAGGGCCAGGGGCGGCCGCTCTGGGTCTAGGGGCGGCTGCTCGAGGGTCCTGGGGCGGCTGCTCGAGGGCGGCTGTGTCAGCAGCGCGGCACGAGGGCCGTAGGGGTGCGCGAGGGCGGGGCCGAGCCGCGTGCTGCCAAAAAACGGCGGCGCAGCAGGTCCTACAGGCGCGCGACGGGCCAGGCGGGGTCGCGTGCTGCCGTCAGGGCAGTGCGACTGGCTCCCGTGGGCGGCGCGAAGGGCCTAAGGAGACGCGACGGGCGGGGCCGGGCCCTAGGGCGGCGTGACGAGAAAAAAAGGAAAACTAAGCGCGCGTCGCGCGGCCAGTAGGGCGGCGCGACGGGTGGGGCAGCTCGACAGGCAGAGGAAACCCTAAAATACGAGATTTAACGGTGGGCCCACTAGGAAATTCGGTCCTAAGACCCAAGTGCTCTTAATACCATGTAAGAGAAGGTGATTGACTATCGAGAGAATTGGGTACAAGGAAGAGAACCCTAAGGGGTTGTACCCTACATTGGCTACCCCACTAAAGCCTAAACCTAATTATAAATCACATATGGTTTGGAATATGGTTATAAATCACATATGGCTCTGAATACCAAGTGTTACGAGTGCAATTGAGTGAACGAGCGAGAATTGCACTATTGAAGCAAGAGTACAATGAGGGAAGGCATGAGCGAAGAATATATAGCGAAACTACAGTGGTAATGAACTGTGGTTGTCGCGCGACGGGCCTGGGACTGAGGTTTGGGGAAATGTCGAAACGGAGGCCCGGAGCGCGGGTTACCCGCCGAGCCGTGAAGACGGGGTGCAACATGCGAAGGTGGCGGGAGGATTGTCGATGAGAGGGTTGCGAGTGGTAACGGTGCTGACTGTGATGCTCCAGTGGTGTAGCAATATTCAGGCCTGGGTGATCGCTCGAGGAATGTGTTGCTGGATAGTTATACCATAGTGGATGGGAGTGACTACAGGGTCCGAGATTAGCGGCTTCAACGCTAGATTATCCTAGAGCAGAGGCTGCTAGGAACCACATCCAATGGTAAAGCGACACAGAGTTGCAGTTTTCCAAGTCTCCATGAATGATCATGACAAATGGAACAAATGGAATCAACCAACCAGATTTCTAGTATCACCAAAGCCAAGAGAGGGGCAGCGGGGTTGGGCAAGGCACCAAACACAAATCCGCTTTATTTGCATCCAAGAGAAAGAAATTCTGCTCTTTCTCAAGACGCTGTAGCCCAGCTCACCACCCACCTGCATTCTAAAAAGAGATGATAACCCCATTACACCCCCACGTATAATGTTATCACGGCTTGACCACTATCGCATCCTGCACCGCCTTTTCCGCCTCCACAGCGCGCGCAAGGCCGGCCTTGGCGCGATCCGCCAGCTGCACGACGCGCTTATCCGCCACCGCGCGGTTCGTCTTAGCCGTCGCGAGGTTCGCCTTCGCCGCCGCCAGCGCCTTGACCTGCTTCGTCGTGAAATCGTCCAGCGCCGCAACAGCGTCGTTGTAGATCACCATCGCGTCGTCGTACGACCTCTTCGCCAGTGCGATGTCGTTCGTCGCGTCGTCCAGCGCAGACTTGAAAATGTCGACGCTCTGGGGGCCAAGCGTGACGAGCCGCTTGTAGTTATCCTGTGCCTTGGCGAGTTTCGTCTTCGCGCGCTCCGCCTGGCTCTCAATATCCGGGAAAACCTCTTCCACAGACGACTGCACGGTCTCCGCTTCCGCAACAGCCGCCTTATTCACCGGGGACGGGTCTTTCTCGTACGCCTGCAGCGCCTCTCTGATCGCCGTCGCGGCGTCCGCGATGACGTTGCGCCATTCGTCCAGTAGGGCGGCGGTAATTTTTACTCGGCGCGCCGCGTCGTTGACGGCTTTCGTGGCGGCGGGGAGCTCGGGGTGGCTGGTGGGGTCGATCTGCGCTTGGATGTAGGCCTGCTTGCGGAAAGATAGGATTCTGTTCGCGTCGTCGAGATCGTACTTCGCAGCGTCCATGGCGTCTTTCATGCTGTCCAGAGTGGAGCGGAGATTATCCGCGGTGTTGTCATTCTCGATAGCGGCAATCGCGGCGGCAGCATCGGCTTCGTCCTGTGCTTTCTGCGCAGCGAAAGCTTGCGCAGCCTTGAGATCCGCGGCGTATGAGTCGGATGCGGCTCTGAGCTGCTTCGCTCGGACGACGAGGTAAGAGCTTTGCGCATGCGACGACGGGAGGATGGCGAGAAGGATGAGAAGGCTCGCGGCCGCCTGCGCCTGAAACCTGTGGTAAATTACCACTGCCATTATGTGAGGATTTGCTGGGAAGCGCGGCAGATTGTGCAGTTGTGGAGTGAAGCGATAAACCAACTGGAGGAGTTTGAGACTAATGTGATTTGGAGATGGATGCTCCCACTTTATACAAAATGTCGACATTTGTGAAGTCGAAAGCACAAGTGGCGAATCGCGTTTGTATTCGGGGCGCGCGTTGACTTGGGAAGGGGAGATTTGGGGGATGTGGGGGCCTGTACCAGAAACTTGTGTGAATGTGGTTTTGTGGGATGCATCGCGATCTGGAGAAAGAACATGGCACTACACATGATGCCCAGCCAGTGCACGTGAATTTTCCCTGTACCGGATGGAAACGCTGCACCTGAGGTCTTTTCCCTAGCCTGTTGCACCCAAGATACAAGCGCGTCGCGTGGTTATGGACTCATAGTAACGAACAGACCGAGGTCAAACTGAAGAGAATGAAGTCAAAATGTCAACGAATAAGGTTACAGATACTTAATATAAGCCCCTGCGAATCTTTTTTAGCTAGCTGCGAATTGACGAAACTTATGCGAATCATAGCATACGGCTTATACGCCTCCTTCACAAGGCAACCGGGAGGGGCTCAAACAGGCATCAAATGTACACAACGGTTGAGGCTGATTCGTGCACTTCGTGTTCCAGCAGCCTCGGGTTGTTTGTGGAAGGCCTGAGGCTCGTTTGGTGGGGCAACACTGTGCTTCGCGCCAGGTCGCGACGCGAACCATTCTTGTGTGGGCGTCACATGAGTTCACTTTATTGCGGTGGGATGCGATGTTGTACGTTTCAGGGCGGTATTTTAACACTTCTCTACGTTGGGGTATGGTTTCGCGCAGAATTGAACGAATGCGTCACTCTAGTATTTGGGTCACAAGACAGCTGTTCCTCCAAACGCTAGCGGGTGGACAGTGGAAATTGGTGGGTGATGGTTGCATCCCACACTTGGCGAATCGCACGAAGTGGTACACTTGCTGGTGAGGGAAGTTTGTTAGGGAAACGCTTGCGGAACGATCCGAATTCGCGATACTGGGTGGTTGACATCGTTTCCTGTCCTTTCCTTGACTATACATGCTCTTGACTACTTGCAGGATATGTGAAGCTGTAAAGGGTAAAAAAAGCTTGAATAGCGCTAATTGGAAGAACTTGGAATATATGAATCGAACAAAATGCATACATAAAAAATGGAAGTTTACAAATAATAGTCGCAGATTTCGAATACTTGGTTTGGTATGGTGGTATTAGAATGTGTTCCTACAATCCCTTACCAGGGAAGCGTCATACCGCTCTGTATTGCACATATCACAATCTATTGCACTGAAAGGCATTGAACCACACAAATCTGACAAGAGGAGCGCATGATAATAGGTGTAGGAACACACATGTAGATCATAGGAACAAGTTTCTACATGGATGAGGCACAAGGAGGTACCATGCATTATAAGAGCATATTTGAAATCTGTAAAGAAAATTCCTTTTCCTTACTTCGCATCTCTGCTCAACGCGTACACCACTGTTCCCGCCAACAGCACCAAACAGTAAGCCGTTACCACTCGCGTCGACACTTTTCCCGCCACCGTTCACGACGCGACCCAACCTCACGGTTCGGTTGGTAACACGCGCTCCGAACCTCCGCCTCGACATTTCCCAACTTCGGGCTAGTCCCGTCGCACACCCCATTTTACGCATTACAGTTACCACTGTAGATCGCTATATATCTGTCAAAGTACAGTCTTACTTGTAGGCTATAGTGGGGCACTCCTTATGGGGTACAACATTTTAGGGTTAGTACTTGTACACCAACCTTTGTTAATCCAATCATTTCTGCAAAATAATTCTGACATGGTATTCAGAGCAAGAAACCTGTTAAGTTTTTAAGGCCCACCGATCGTCTTGCAAAGTTTTTGCCCGAAGCGCCTTAATGTTGTCCGGCCCTCTCACATAGTGTCACACTGCCGTGCAGCTACTCGCACTGCCTGCCCTAGCGTGCTGCCCTACTGTTACGCTCGCCCCTGCTGCCCGCGAGCAGCCCCTGCCCCGCGCGCCACTGCTGTCTGTGAGCAGCCCCTGCCCCGAGCGCCCCTGCTGCCCGCGAGCAGCCCCTGCCCTGCGCGCCCCTGCTGCCCGCAAGCAGCCCCTGCCCTACGCGCCCCTAATGCCCACGAGCAACCTCTGCCCTGCGCGCCCCTTCTGTCCGCGAGCAGCTCCTGCCCCAGAGCGCCCCGTCCACAGGGTTCGCGCCCTACTGCCCTGCGCGTCGCGCCCTGCTGCAGCCCGCGCGTCGCGCCCTGCTGCAGCCCACACGTCGCGCCCTGCTACCCTGCACAGCGTGCTGGAGGTGCTGGACCTACTACTGACCGTCACTGCCTGTCATGGTCACTATCACGACAGTTGCAGCTACTACGGGTGGACAGCAGCTGTTACTACCTCTCCCGGACGACCCCACCCCTCAGCAGCTTCGTGAGTGGGTTATGCAGCGAGCCCGTTTAGGTGGTGGAGACTTTGGTTTCTGCGTACTGCATAGAGGCGGCAGCAGAGTCAGCAGGAGACCTTCTCCCCGCAGCTGCTTAGTGAGTTGGTTTCTCAGGGATGTGTCACTGGTTCTGTAGAGGCTGCTGCTCTAGGTGCTAATGAGCCTGCTGCTGCACTCGGTACTCGTGAGTCTGCTGCCGCTCCAGGCGCTAGTGAGTCTGCTGCCGCACTCGGTGCTAGTGAATCTGCTGCTGCTCCAGGTGCTAGTGAGTCTGTTGCAACTTTAGGTGCTCGTGCATCTACCGCCACAGCTCCTGCCTCAGCTGAGGCCTTGCACACTTTCACAGTTGACTCAGTCGCATCACGTTGCTTTTTTCATGACTGCACCATACTCACACCTCTTGCCGCACCGGTACCAGTCTCACTGGCTGACCCCACTGGGGGCCCAGTAGTCGCACGAGCCTCCACTGTCCTCCCGTGTCCAGCGATCCCCTCCAGTTCTCTGTCAGGTCTCCAACTCCCCACGTTCTCTACGAACTTGGTGAGCTACGCTGCCATTCAGGATGTCTGGGTTGATACCTTTGTTCCTGGAGGGCATCGTGTGGCGATCTGTTCGTGCTCTCGGACTGGCCGTCACCTTGCTACGTTCACTCGACAGCCTGGGTCTAGTCTGTGCCCACTGATCACTGCGTCTGCACAGGTGGCTGCGTCGAGTCAGGGGGCTGTGTGTTGTCAGCTTGCAGCGTCTTGCTCGTGTCGGGTACTCTCCCACCAGACTCTCCTCTGACACCACCGCCTAGGTCACCCCTCGCTTCCGCGTCTCCGCAGCATGCACTCCCGTCTCCTTGTCTCTGGGCTACCCAGGTCCCTGCCCTCCCTCCCGCGCTCGCCTGCACCGCCCTGCCTTCCCTGCGTTGAGGGGCGGCAGCGCGCCGCTCCTCACTCCTCCGAGTTTCCTCCGACCACTTCTCCTTTGCAGACTCTCCACATGGACGTTTGGGGCCCGACCCCCGTCGGTGGAACAGACCAGGAGCGCTACTTCCTGCTGGTTGTACACATGCTACACCCCTGTTGTCCCCTTGCGGTGCAAGGCGGACATCAGCGGTGTTTTGATCCCCTGAATCCGTGCTACTTGTCGCCAGCTGCGTGAGCGGTTTCGTCGAGACTTGCTAGTCCCGCGTCTGCACTTTGATAGGGGTGGTAAGTTCTCTTCCGACCTCGTTGAGGAGTTCTGTCGAGACGAGGGCATCCGCCAGACATTCACGCTTCCGGCCTCTCCTCAGCAGAATGGGATTGCTGAGCGCTGGATTGGCTTGATCATGGAGGTTGCTCGTACCTCCATGATCCATGCAGCTGCTCCCCATTTTCTTTGGTCGTTTGCGGTCCGATACGCTGCTCATCAGCTCAACCTCCGGCCCCGTGTCTCTGAGCCAGAGACCTCGCCCACCCTCCGGTGGACGAGGAAGGTTGGCGATGCGTTGGTGTTTCGGGTCTGGGGCGTGCTCTCCCTTGTTTGCGATGCCAAAGCGAGCAAACTCTCCTATCGCACTCTCCGCTACATCTTCCTTGGCTTCCCCACCGACGCCCTGCCGTGGCAGTTCTACTACCCACGCGACCGTCGCGTGTTCTCCTCCCAGGACGTCACCTTTGACGAGTTGGTCTGTTTCTACAGGCTACACCCGCACGCGTCCCACCCGGTCCCCCTAGCGCCTCTCTTCCTGGTACCAGTCCCCCCCCCCCCCGGTAGACCCCCTCACCCCACAGGGTCCTGCTCCCTCAGATGTGTCTTAGGTAGACCCACCCCCCTTGGTTGAGCCTTTGGAGATCTCTTCTGATTCCTCTGGTCCCGCTGAGGGGGGTGACCCCGCCGCTGACGACACGGCGGCCACTCGTCGCTCTCCACGCTTGGAGACCCCCCTTGGTTTTCCGCCTCGACCATCTTCGCCACCTTCACAGCCTGCTGCTGTGGACTCAGGAGCTGAGACTGCTGGTGCTGAGCTTGGGGGTGAGGGTTCTGGGGGTGCTGAGACAGAGGGTGAGGGTTCTGGGGGTGCTGCCACTGGGGGTGCTGACTCTAGGGGTGCTGCGAGTCCTTATGGCGGTGGAGTTGTGGGTGACCCGGCTGGAGGTACTGCTGGAGGTGCTGCTGGTGCTGGAGGTACTACTAGAGGTGCTGGAGGTGCTGCTGGTGCTGGAGGTACTAGAGGTACTGCTGGTGCTGTAGGTGTTGGAGGTACTGCTGGAGGTGCTGGAGGTGTTGCTGGTACTGGAGGTACTGCTGGAGGTGCTGGAGGTGCTGTTGGTACTGGAGGTACTAGAGGTGTTGCTGGTGCTGGAGGTGCTGGAGCTGCTAGTCCTGGAGGTACTGGAGATGCTGCTGGTGCTGGAGGTGCTAGGGGTACTGCTGGTGCTGGAGGCGCTAGAGCTAGAGGTACTGGAGGTGCTAGAGTTGCTGGTCCTGGAGGTGCTCGTACTGGAGGTACTGGAGTTGCCGAAGCTGGTGGTGCTGCTGGTGCTGGTGGTTCTAC